TAGTATGTGAGTGTAAATTCATGGAGAAAGCAGGCAAAAAAGTAATAAAATATTTCTAAGAATCTTCGAAACAAATACTTTAGCTCATTGTTATTTGTGTGAGATTTCTTTTTAAAGATTAAAAGAACTCCATACCAAATCTTATTTTCTAATTAAAAATTTGAAGAAATTTTTTTGAGACCACTCTTGGATATGTCTTTAGACTATGCTACAACAAATTGTTGATAAAGTAGAACAAAAATTCAATTAAGGATACATGAAAAGCATAAAATTAGAAAAATAAATAAATTATAAAAGTAAAATTTTACTTGTATGTTTTTTATGAATTTTTTTCTAAGGAGCTCTACACTTTGAAATAACATAATATTCTGCTACTTCAACATTAAATTAGAAAAAAAAAGTGTTATTGGTCAAACAATTTCTTTATTATAGAAAATTTCATCTTAATTTATTTTAATAACTAGATGAATATTTAAGTTGGTTATTATCATTATGACTAGATGAAAATAAGAAATTTTTATGTTTTTGAATATTTAATATTGAATGATTTTAATATTGAAAATTGAAATTTTGAATATTGAAATGATATTGAAATAATATTGTATGTTTTTAATATTGAAATATTTAATATTGAAAATTTCAAATTTTTTAATAACTAGATGAAAATTCAAAAACATGAAAATAAGAAATTCAAAAAAGTCACAAGCATTAAAAATAAAACAATTGTATACAAAGACTTTCTTTTAATCATGTCTACTAATTGTTATGGAAGTTTCATACTCTAGGAGGCCATTTTAGACCATATCTCTCTCATTTAAGACCCTGTCACTTGTCCTGCAAGTAGCGAATTCAGGGTCAATACCATGAAGCATCAACATTCCATCTTGGTAGAAAAAGTTCTGATAAGGTCCTGATAAGGTCCTTCCTAACTGCTAACTTCCAGCTTTGTATCAGGAACAGCCTTTTTAAACATTAAATTTTATGGTTACAGAATATTTTGTAGTATTATTTCATTTTCTTCTTTCTGAATAGCCTTATTTATAAATAAAATGGATTATTTATTATTTATTACTTTTTTGAGGAATAGCCTTATTTATAAATAAAAAAATAAATAATTATAATTATATGCACATATATTCATATCCAAAATTATAAATAATTTTTTTTGAAAGATTCAATGAACTTAGGAGGACTTTGCACTTAGAGGAGAAGTTGAGACGTCATAAATTTTTAATCTTTGGTTGTCTAGAATTGAAAATCCTTATTTAGTTTGCTTTAAAATTTTTAAAAAATAATCCAAATATTCTAAGACAAACTTATGTGATTAAACGAGTATATATATATATATATATATATATATATATATATTTTTTGATATAGAATGAATAGTATTATATTTTTTCAAATTTAATTTAACTTGATTTTTATGTTTTATGCTTGTCATATTTGTTAGGGTGAAGATGTAAATTGATATGTTTTAATATACAATAAAAAAATTATTTTGCAAAACATGTACCCAACTTGTCTTCAAACCTTTTTACTTCATCTTTCCATCATATATGCATGTCTGCAAATATAGATGTCATGTAGTTGTTTCTAATTGTGAGTAGCTTACTAATAGACAACCAACTTTTGGGAGTTCCTAAAATATTGGTATGAAGGGGTGTAGAATTAAAGTTGTTGGGTTTTAAATAAATAAATAAATAAATAAAAATTCTAATATCAACTGAAAATGTTTTAAATTACTATTAGTAATATCTTTATAATTTTTGATGCAATATAATAATTTTACTATATAAACTTACTTTTACATCTTCTGATGAATATTACATATTTGACTATACTAGAATTTCAAAATTCAACAATAAAATCACAAAAAGTAAAATATATATATGTGCATATCTTGTCAATAAGTTCTTTGAGTTGCTTAGATCTATTTATTCATCCCTACTTGTTCAATCACCACAATTTTTACTAATTTTTATGATTTCAAAGCCTTAAATCTGCATTAAAATCTAAACAATACATTTATATAAATCAAATATAAATGATTTATAGTACGTAATGTTTTTCAAGTTCTTATATATATATATATATATATATATATATATGTATTTTCTAGAAATAGTTAATAATATATATAACTAAATAAATTTATTTTTATGAAAAACTCAATGTATTTAAAGAATTAATTTGTAATCTAATTTTATCAAATCTATTATTATTATTTTTAATAATAAATAATAAATATTTATATTAATTATTTATATATATGTATATTTTTTTTTATGCATGACTATTTTGTAATTTTTTCTTTGCTATTTTGGTACCCCTTGGAGATGCTTACTAGTTGTTTAAAAATACATAATTAGAGAATAAGATCACTATTGGTGTTATAGTATTTTATTCTCAAACAAATCAATGTGCAACTTTTGTGAATACGAAAATAACCAAGAGGGGTAACTAGTAATTAATTTCTTATTTTTTATATTATAAAATTTTAATAATTAATGAGCTATATTAAAATAAATATAAATATAATTCTTGAAATAATGTTATTTTTATATGATTTATTGGTGGTAATAATAAAAAATAACTTATTTATTTATATTTTTATAAATATTTGGAAACTTTATTTTTTATTCTAAAATAGAAAAAGGAAAAGAAAACATTTAAATTTTAAAGTGATAATAAAAATAAAAATATAAAAAACCATTTAATTGAAAAAATTATGGTTTGAGGAATTAAAATAATAAAAATCAATGAATATATTTTAAAAGTCAGTGTTTCAGAATAATGAGATTCAAGTAACTTTGTTTGTAATAATAATTCTGGTTGCACTTATTGCAATTTTATCTACTTATTGTATATTTTATTTTAAAAACTATTTAAAGTTTTTTATAAATTTTTTCTCAAATATTATTAATAATAATTTAAAGAATTAAAATAACTTTTAATGATTTTAATAATGATAAACCTATCAATATAAATAATAAAATATAAATAATAAAAATTTAATTTTTGAAGTTTTAAAGTTTTTTATTATTTAAAAATGAAGAAATATGTATATACTTATATATAAATAATATATGATATATTTATTAAAATCCATGCTTAAAGAAAATTAATAATATATTAAAAAACATAAATATATATGATTTTTATTTTTAAATACTTTTATATAGATTCTAGAATTTTTGCGATTTTTAAAGTCAAAATTTGGAAATTTTTATATTTTGTGATTAATCATACCAATATATATAAAATTATAAAATTATTTTTTATTTTATTTTAAAGATTATTTTTTTTTAAAATTTTATTAAAGTTATAATGCTATTTACATGTAACTCATTGTTGTTTCTTTTTATTTTTATTTTTATTTTTATTATCTTTGTTGTATTAGCTATAAAGTTTAGAATTTTTGGCACAATATATTATTTAGGTTTTAAAAATCTAAGAGATATAAATTCAAGAAGTATAATCTATTTTAATTTACATTTAATTTTATTATTTAAATTTTTAATTTAAGATTTATTGAATTATTATTATTATTATATTTTTCCAATTTGAAATTTTTAGAGAAAGTAAATTCAATATAACTATTTCATAAACACATAAATACATATTTTAATTTATATATTATGAAGTTTTTTATTTTAATTTCTTTATTACATAGTTTTATTTTTTAATTCTCTATAAAAGATATTATTAAATAATTTATACTTTGTATTTATTGAAAAAATATAGATTTTTTGAAGATTTTTATTAGTAATCAAAATAAATAAAAAGATCAATTTTAGAGTAGAGATTCATAGTTTATGTCTTATAGTGTTTTAGAATAATGTAAAATATTTTTTTTGAATAAGTTAATTATCTAAGATAGGATATTTTTAGAATTGTGCCACATAACTATTAATACGGTTTTAATGGTTTCTCCTACAAGATTGTATTAGTAGACTATGCAAACAATAGGCACCAAAAAAATTCAACTTCAAGATGAACAAAAAAATAAAATTAACAAAACTTTTTTAATGAAGTCTTTTTAAAAATTATTTCATAGAATTACTTTTACAGAAGTACATTTTCAATATGATGATAGAATAAAAAACACCTTTTTATTATATACTTAGCAAGATTTCGTTAGAATATTAAAGTTTTGAATATTAAGAGTACTCTTTAAAAATCCAATATTTACACTAATTGAAACAAAAATAAAAGCCTCAATTTTATTTAATATAAGTATGTATATATATGTATTTGGTTTCAAAATAAAAATTTGCATTTCTATACAACTACTACATGTATATGTTTTCAATAATTAAAATACAAACAAAAAAATTATGAAAAATTATATTTAAGAATTTAAAAAGATTTCAAGTTAAAAAAAGTAATAATAAGTAATGTAAAAATTAAGTAAAATTTAAAAAATATGAATTATGTTATCTAGACTATCTATATCTTCTACTAAATATACCAGTTTTTCCAAAAATAGCAATAATTTGATTGCTTTAAAAAATGAAATTATATATATATATATATATATATATATATATATATAATTAATAGAGTCTCAATGTTAGCTTTGAACATAATTTGAAATCATTTTAAAATTATTTGTTTTAGCCACGAGCTTTTTGTTTATTAAATACACACAAACCTTCTTAAAGTCTTAATTATTTCTAAATAATCTAAATTCATGGTTAGTTTAGTGCATCATGGAAACTACAACTACTAATGGATGTTATGATTATGCTTAGGCATGTACATGGTTTGGAAATTTCAAATTAGTATTAGAAGGTGAAAATTTTCATATTGAGAGCTCTCTAGTTCTGATTCAATGAAGCAACGATGTGTAACATTCACAGTTCGTTGCAATGTTTGGTCCTCATAATAATTCCTTCCACATGAATCGTTAAGCTTCATTATCAAAACTAAAATTTTAATTGAAAAGTTTAATTGCATACGATTTTAATGCAAAGGTGGTTGTGCGACAAAGTAAATACACCAAGTTTGTACTCCATTATTTGTGCTCAGGTTCAGTAATCCTTCTATACAATCTGTTGGACTAAGCTTTAAAGCTAATATAGAATATCCATGAGAGTATTATACCAGTGTGCTGCTGTTGGTCAGTGAAACGGAATAGAGTAGAAAAAGACTCATATCACAACTGGCCACAAACATTTTACTTCTGACCTGAGAGTCATGTCCAAACCTGAGTATCCGCTGCATGAATCAAGAGAAATAATAGCAAATATTGCACTGCACTCTGATGCCTGAATGCTCATCACCCCACTCTTATTGCAGACTACTGCATGATAATAGAGGTGGTGTGTCACAGTTCTCAGCCTGCACTTGTACTGAGACTTCCACTGAAGTCTATGGCTTCACATCACGTGTTCTGCAAACCAGCAATTGGGGATGCCTTTGTTGCTGCATGGTTACCGTTTCGGGAATGCAGGCACAGGGTGTAGGGCTCTTCAGCACGCAGGAAGTCACAGTTTTGTGTGGAAGGATTACGCGTGACTTCAGTGCTAAGTAATGTTCTTACAAGCGTTATCATGCAGACATGGGAATTATTACCATTGTTTTTAGTCGCTAGAAAAACATATAAAATACGATACGTTATGACTGATTCTAAGAGGCGGTCTTTCGCTCACTAGCACTAAGCTACTAGTTGGATGGGACATGCAGACCTCCAAACTCTCCTATTCGATTCAATATTCAAACCGCATCCGCAATCCAGTTGTAAATATCATGAAAGTCGTCTCTATTAGCAACTACCTGATTCATTCGGTTCTATAACAGGATATCAGTATTCAGGAAGGAGAGTCATGAGTCGCATTAGGAATAGTTCTCCAAGCGCTTTACGAACGTCCAACTGCATTCAAGTATTTTCTCATTTTAATCATCAAATCATGCAAGACTAGCTCACCAAACTAATCACCACATTGTGTTAATCGAACTCTTACATTCTGGTAAATCCTTGATTGGAGCTTGTTACCTGGTCACAGCAAATGAGTCTTGTTAGATAAGGATAGAACTGTGGCAAATGCTTCTCGAAAACCCGGTTCTCCATTGTGCTTAAAGCCTTTAAAACCTGTTTGAAAACCAACGCAAAGTAATTATAAATTTGTGAAACTATATAAGTGGCTTCAAACAGTCATGAAGAAAATTGAGAAAATATTTATTTGAAGTCATAATTATGTTAACATCTAAGGTTTAATCATATGCGTTGAAAGGACCTAAATGAATTAGCTCTGGCAGGGCTCGATTACAATCACCTTTACAGTCACTGGAGCCCGTACCGATAGCGACTTGTATACATCTGTGGGTGTGGTATCTCCGGGCCGAGACTGCAAAGTGATTATTTCTCTCAGAACATGTCCGTAAAAAGCCATAAGCCTTCGTTCCGCCTCCTGTCTCAACTTCTCACTCTCGGGTGGAGGTGACTTTCGTCCCATATTTATCCAATTTCGCTTTGACTCCTTGGTGGTGGCATCAGCTTCATGCCCCATTGCAGATAATGTAAGCATTGCGAGATACAATTGGGTGCCTTCCGCTTCTTGCCTAAGTAAGCTTGGTGGTGGCCTGTTCATCAATAATAGTCGAACAGCAAAATAGTAAGACTGCACTATCATACAACCAGGGTTCCTCATGGGCTACTCATTTACTGATGAAACTTCATATTTTTATATATTTAATGCTCCACATTTTCATGGAATCAACATAATCAAAATCTGTAAACACTTTTTACCAGTCGCCTGCTATTTTTCGCATTCGCTGTCGAAGCTTGATGTCGCTATTATATGATGCTGCAAATTCTACCAGTGAAAATAGTGTGTCCATTATCAGTAGCTTTTGAGATGGCTCAAATCGTTGCCAATGATGTTTCTGCAAAGACCATTATACTCTTAACTAGTAAATCTTAAACTCGCCTGCAAAACTAACTCCTTACTACAATCAACCATCGATCTCGCACAGAGACTATCCCATCTGTAGATTATTCCCTCCAACCGCTCAAAACGTATGTTTAATGTTAAAAACTTAACAAATCAAGCACCTGGAGGCTTTCAATGGTACTCAAGAGCAAAAGCTGAATGACACACTTGGATCTCACTTTCTGGAGAGCTAAGCTTTCTTCATCGCTACTATGTATGTCATCGCCATCATCGAACTCCTGAAAAACCGTCAGTCAGCTGCAAATTATCTATGCATAACTTGCACAAAAATGCCGGAATAAAGAATACTTTTAGACATTCACATGATGAACTTCAAGATATCCAAATTTTGTAAATTCTGACACGCGTAATTACTTCATGGCATGAACACATTTCTAACGGTAGACATCCGCACTTACCGTGTAAACAAAAGCTGAGGAGCACGAACCTCAGAAGTAGTCCCTGATTGCGATTCGGGGGGTACGCTTTTTCTCCTGTAATGTAGAATAGATTTCATAACGCCACCGATGAAACCTCCTTTGCCGGTTATTTGAGCTGATTCCCCCGCTCCAACGGCAGCTTCCTCGCCGTTCTTTAATGTGTACCCGTCCATGAGGAGCTGGTCACTTCCAGGTGTAGTGACAGTGCCAGAATGCGTCCATACAGATGACTGGCTTGTATCGAAAGTAAACATCGTCTCTGGATCGAGAAGTTCTTTGGGTTGGGTTGCATAGCATGCATCCCTACAACATCAGCACTTGTTACTGTAGTCCTTTACATCATGGTTAATGCATCTTAATACAAATACGTAAATAGAAGTATGAACTAATTGCACAGTAACTGTTAACCCGCTTTTCAGGAAGATCTCTAATAGGTTGGTTTATGAAAGGATATTTTGTACCGGATATGTTCGAGTAAAGTGGTCCAGTCCTCTACTTTGAATTGGTCTCCCCCTTCTTCAGTGAACCTCGTCAGTGCACGCATGGACATGGAGGCCAATGTCTGATCAGGTTGTGTGGCACAGTCCAGAAGTAGTCTTAGTAATTCTGGCATCAAAAAGGATACTTCCTGCATTCATCCAGGCGAATATCAACAAACAACCGCACAAATTACACCTAAAGAAAAAACATGAGGTACTCTATGTAAACAGTGAAGAAATTAAATAGAGCCAGATATACCCAACATACCTTGTAATAACTGCTGAAGAGATCGCAAATAAGGCGAAGTGAGACTATGCAAGTCTCTCGAAACCATATGTTCTTGGATTCCAATTTGCCTTCATATGAAAATTCTCTTCGAACATCCTCAAAGATTGGGAAGAGTATGCGGTGAAACACGCTCTTCCAGAATGGTCCTGAAAAATTGTGCCCTCGTTCCTTGAGAAGATCGAAGAGAACCTCCAAGGCACAGTTTCGAACTTCAGTGCGGGGATCAGATATAAGTTCTGATAGCCCAGAGAGCATTGGAAACCAGTAGTTTTCAGCTACTTCTTGATCTCTTCCCCTCTCTTCTGCAACTACTCGGGAGACACCTCCAGGAATGTGTCCCTAGAAGCACAACCATGAAACATTTGGTTGGCGTTAAATGTTTCTTACCCTACTAAGGAATGAGAGAGTGAGTTTAAGAAGCAAAGAAAATAGCTTCGATTGACTTAATTCATGGTGCTAAGCTGAAGTGCATGACGACCTGAACATAAATATCTACAATCGCTTATACAAAATTATGAAATGATTACATCCTTAGAATGATTATGTTCTGTACATTACGAGTAAATATAGCTTATTATGTTTATTGATAACTGTGTATTTGTATTATGTGATTCTTTTTTGACAAATGCAGTGAAAATGAGCGATTATGCTGAATTCAATCCGAATACAGTACCTCAGCCAAACGCTCCTCACATATTCGTAGAAGAGCAATCGCCTTCAAGCTTGTCCGAGCACTGCTTTGGCTTTTATTGTTTGCAAAAGCAATAAGGCAGTTTACACAGTCCATGAAACTGTCTGCCATTACTTGCTCAAAATGCTCCAATACGACTGTATGCAACAGTAAAACTACGTTGTTCAAACTTGGTAGTCGTAGGAGCCAAGGTTTTGGTTCAGTTATTGAACATGGATTGAGCGACAAGGTTCAAATATGTGCAGCATCTACTTGAAAAAATGGGTGCACCAATACATCGAGAGACTTGGGCGATTTTGGCATACCTTGTTCAACATTTTCAAATGCATTAGCAGAAATTTCAGGATAATCAAAGGCGGCTGAGGTGAACACCATAAACACGCTCTTCCAGCCTGACTTAATACTTGTGACTTTTGACTTGGTCATCTGACAGTATAAATAAGAATAGAAGTGTGGGATTCACACTGTCTATGAGTGTAACAGTTACATTAACTCAAGATTTATGTCCCCAAAAAAGCCTAGAGCTAAAATAATCCTCGGCAGATTATCACCAAAGCTTTTAATTTACAAGAAGGGTCATGCTCACTTGTATCATGCAATCAACAATAAGTGCGCGTATTGTGGGATTCTTGCTGCTCCGCACTAACACGACAAAAGGCTTCAAAATATCATTCTGGAAGGTGAACTTTGCTAGCTCAGAGCGAGCCAGGTACTTGTGTGCCAGCTGCCTCAAAGAATCTATAGCGTACATTGCAATCTTTTCATCGTCGTGGCTCCCTGCCGCAACAAAATGCAACGAGAGTACTGCCCATATTTTGCCCCACACCTGTAGTTGTGGACATCAGATTCATAAGACACTCCAAAAAAACTTCATGTATTGGGTGGAGAAAATGTGAAAATATTAAGTGAAATAACATGATGATTCAATTTTAAACAACATACACTAGGATGTAGGAGTAGTTACCATACGAATCCGTGTTATATTGTAGTAGCTAATTTCTACCATTTTCGTGAGACTGAAAACTCGTGGTGGCACCTCGTTCAGCTCTTTGGCAGATACCTCACATAAACCCGAGAAGAATTCCACAGCCACATCACCAGGTAACTTGACGGTGTTGGCAAACACCTGCTCTGTTGGTTTTTCCATTAAATCCAATAATGAAAGCAAAAGATCTTCCCTAAAAATTTGGTTAGGGCCCACAGTAACTGCAAAGAATGGAGACGTAGTAATGAACTCCAACCTTGACACACATTCTAGCACTGATTTCCATGAACTTTGCAACGCGTCGATTCTATTCTGGCACAAGTCAAAAAGAGCTCTCAAAGCTTCAACATTTTTGTTTTGCATTTCCACAGCAGAATGCAAAGACGTGAATCTGCAGTAATTTGATATGGACGTGTAAGTAGCCTGGATCAGACCTGTGATGCATTTATACATAGATAATTTAGTCGTCGTAAAGCACATCCGAGGCGGAAGGCGACATATACTTATGAGACATGGTGAACAGAAGATAAGCTTGAAGCCTACAGAGGAGCCTCTTGTTTTATACCTGATTAACCCAGCTACAAATGTGTTGCGAAGATTTTGCAAGCCCAAAGACGTGGTTAATCCCGCGCCTGTGTAGAAGGCTTTTAAGCATAAAAGTATCCAGGCCTCATCGCTTGTTCTCTCCATTGTCACTTCGAAAGCTGCCAACAAGGCCAGCCCGCAAACATCCAGCATTGGTCGTGCCAGCTCGGAATGATCTGGTTTATGAAACACGCCTTGTTTCTGTCCAGTTTTTCGAAATGCAGCCTGTGTGCGCTTAATGATGTTCTCGCTCTCCTGCTTCATATCTGCTGCTTTGCGTGATGCTCCCCCAAGTTTGAGAACATCAAGCACATCGAGTAAGACACTCTTCTCTTCATGTTTTGGTCCAATTGCATTCTCGTCCTTAAGCTTGATTTCATCGTTGACAATTGAATCATATATCTCTTCCAGAAGTTCCTATGTCGAGATTATCAAAGGAGAACACTTCAGTTGCTAATCCAACTTGTCAACCGGAGGGGTTTATATATGATCAAAGGTAATTGGTTTGTCCGTTACAGCGATTTAATAGCTATCCTCATTGATTTATAAATTTAAAAAGTGCATTGTGACGCGGTCTCTCAGTCAACTTCGACGATAAAATCGTTACAGGTACAGCTTATGCATACCTTGGGAGCATGTTCTTCAGCACCAGTTGAAGAGTTAATATTCACGAAGTCTGCTTTCGTCATCTTGGTCACAACCTGAGGATTATGAGCATCTGTGTTGAGCATAATAACTGCATACGCCAGCACATAAGCTGTGTCTGCATTTTTGAAAAGGTTACCATTATCTCGACAGTACCTGTAATCACTTATCCAAAGTACATAGTCAGAAGAAATAGCCGGCAGGTGTTACGTCACGACACATTGCTGATATCTGCCCTTATCTCGAAGGTACTTGAAATAGCGTTTAAGGGTTCTGATAATTTCTCGGCCACCTAAATTAACCGCCAACTGCAATGACGATATGAGAAAACATGATTAAAAGTTCAACCTTTCTGCGAATTTCTCCATAATCCGATCAATCTTCTGCGCTTCTCCAGGAAGCCGAAAGCCGTTAAGAAACATTCTGAGAGCCTTGTCAAACTTCATGCCGACAAAGTTCATTCCGTCCACATATGCGTGCATTACAGCCAACTGGAATTCTCCATGTTGTCCCAAATAGTCACCTATTTGTTTCTGCACACAACACAAAAATAATCCTAAAACAGACATGAAAACTTCGCTGTTACGTCTGCTACAGAATCATTGAGCTGTGAAGGATTTGCATCTTCGTTCTACCTTAACTATTTTCCTCGAACTGGCATTTGAAGAAGTCGAGATCATCAAATTTTCTAAGTCTGAGCTGAAGTTGAGACATTAAAAAAGGAATGCAGAAATAGTACTTTGTTCAAGCCTGGTGTGTCATGTAAGAACCGAGCAATAAATTTTGGGTCATTGGGAAGGAGATTTTCCGTCAGAAGAAATTTGATCCCCTCCGCTGGCTTTCGATTAAACTGAAACAAACGCCCCAGTTCAGAATCGAAATGATGAGAGGTGTATTTCCGCTTAATCACAAACGTCCATCGATTGTTGTAGACTACTGAAAAATGTCATGTATGCTCAAGGTAAGTTGCTTTTGAGATTCTCAGCATCCATTACATCCTCACCTCGATCACAGCAGTTTCCATCGAGACTTTGCGAGCCTTAGCTTTTTCGAAGTCGTCAGCCTGAGTTGTAATCTTGGCCTCATCCGTAGGCTCGGAGTCAATCTTCATCACATTATTCATTTCAAATTTAGAGCCTCGTTTAGGGGTTCTGTATTGGATCAACTCAGGATCATCCATTTCCACTGGTCCCAAACCATCCTTTTTGGTCCATGCTTCTAACGATTGTAAAACATTCGTAAGACACTGCAACCCACGCATGCAGGTGTATGATTACGCAATATCTTTTTGAACAAGAAAACACGCTCAAACCAACAGCTGTTACTGACTTCACACTTTTTATTGCATTTTATTCAGCATTTGTACTAAAATAACCAGTTTGGACATTTCTATTATAAATTAGCAATACTAATTATTACTTGGTTCTGAGTATATACAATGAACTCTATTTTCTGCTGATTTTTCAGAAGTTCTGTTAGCAAATGACATGCTGAAAGAAATGATGAGTAGGCATGCGACTTACTTGAATACATAAACCAGTCACGAACCGATATTGAGTAACGACAATCGGGTTAGCATTTGGCTCCACAGGTGGGGGTTCTTGTGCCATGCGTGACAGCGAGTTTATCTTTGCCCACAATCAATTGTTCACGTCACATATCCGAAAGCCTTCTTAATACTTACTACTTGATGAGTGTTGTACATTACATATCCTCAGTACCTTCCATTATTGAGCTCATCATTGACATAGACAGCTCTTACCAGTTGTTGAAACAAGTTAGTTGACTCCAAATCACAGTCGTAATTTACAAATATGTCAACCAGCAGCTGTGGATCGTTGCAAGTTTTTTCTAGCATCCTGATTCATCAGCATACTAGGTCACCAGACTTACAATGACCACATAGCCAAAGGTTCGGACACAAGTCTAATACTGTCTAACCACAGATCTCAGTTCAGGAGTTCAGCCCGGTTGCAAAAAGTCGACTTCATAACCGAGATACGATAATTCAGAACGAAGGTAATAATAAGTTATGAATTCGGTCCTATTATGAAGCCAAAATAGATTATATTTTCAGAGAGAAGAGAGCCGTACTTGAGGACGGAGGTGCAATGTGGGGGAGGCGTCTCAGGATTGTCGAATGACCGGAGCACCACAAGAGAGAAAAATACTCCAACCTCTGCCTGCATAGGCGTTCATAATGTCACTTGAGATTCAGATGAGCAAATGTTTACATCAACCTTAAATATGGATTCGGTAATGAAAAATCACAAATCATCATTTGTTTATACCTTAAGACTCTCCCGAAATCGCTGCAAGAGGACAGTGTAGATGTTTACAGCCATCTGCACTTGATCACGCACAACTTACATGATTTATTTGACTAAAAATAGGTTTAAAATGAGTCAATAGGCTAATATGTAAAAAAGTCTTTTCATAAATCTGGGACATGTAATGACTTAATGCAAAGTGGAGCATTAGAAATGAGAGAATTGAGGAGTACAGTAAACTTTAAGAACCTGGAATACGGATGCAGTAGGTGACACACAGGACCTCAGTAATGCATAACACAGGTATGCTTTCACAAAATCAATGAAAGTATAATTGACAGTGAAAGCATCGCTCACTCCTTCCAGCAGCCCCTGGATGAGGCCAAATCCGTCAGAAAAATGAGTTCTTTATTTCTCCGAAGCTCTTGTTTATATATTTTCGCAAGATTGTAATATTTACAGGCTTTTAAGTACCTGAAGCAGATCAAGAGACAAAATCTTGGTCCTGTTACTGAGATCGTCTGTTTCTTCCTTCACAGCTAGCTGCTCAAGAAGCATGAAAAGAGTAAAACGGATTAGAACCACGTAAAGATTCAAAAACCTCAGAATATGTTATAACTTCACAACCACTTTCTTCAAGAACCCAGGCAAATCCACCAGAGCTATACAATTAAGCATTCATATGCTGTGTATAGGAAAACGGCTTCTCAATCGCAATTCAGGAAATCACCTGCTGAGGTAGAGAATGACACCTTGCAGATTGTTCGTAGCATCAGTACCCCATCTTGCTGGCCAACTGTGAGTGACTCCAGGCTTGTTACAGCCCTAGACAGCCAGAAATTTCTTCCGGATATAACATTTAAAACGTCTTTACAGAAAAATAAAATAAAATAAAATAATTACTGTAAGAGTTTCTGACGAGAAGGGACTTGAAGTACATTCTTAGGTATTGAAAGTTACAGAATCATTATACCCTTCGCTGTTTAGTTCTCCCTCTGCTTCGACCACTTTGTTCAAGGCTGCTTCAAACCCCTGTCAGTTTACATAAATTTCTTTTACTTGCAGGCAAGGGACAGTGTCCAGGTTCAGCTTTGAACCCATATATTTAAGAGAAGTAAAGTACAGTGTATATTGCATCACCAGATATCACCAAGGCGCATTGATTCACAGATATTTGACTCTAGTTCAAGACCAAGAAAGAATCAACTGTCCTTAGGAATTAAACTTTCTTTTTCTTTTTCCGCATGAAGCCAATAGAAAAATAGTTAAAGAGGAAGAGTTTAGAAGAATTATGATATTCTGGAACGGTCGCTAATATGAAAACTTGCAAACCTGAATGTCGGCAACTCCACTGAGATGCTTTAAATCTTCCACTGGCATCTGACTAGGAGTAGGCTGTGATTGCTTTGAGTCCTTCGACGATTCACCCTGGTCAAGCTTCCTAGATTTCACCCTCTTCCAATAAACAACAGAGGAGATGTCGGTTTTCAACCAAAAGATATTTGGATAACTGTATTGAAATTGAGAAATGGAGACGAATCCATTATTAGACTTTCTGATGAGGGGACCAATGCCAATCAGCGGTCATCGATGCAAACCCATCCTAGCATTCTGATTCTGACCATACCTCTGTATTATTTTCCATTCTTATGAAGACTGTATTCATCATTTGCATCAACGTCGCTTTAGCAGTGGCTTGGTTCACAGGGCTTTTACTGCAGAAAGGCATGTTCAGCGTGAATGGATTATTACAAATCCATTAAAAATTAGTTTCATGTGTCCCTGATAATTGCGGTTAGACATCATATGAGGTTTCAACATCTCTTACCTGCTCAAGACAATATTATAGCATGTGCGCACCGCTGTAAGGAGGCACTCCCTATGCACTGCAGTTTTCAAATTTGAACAAGAGGTAGTTATGTGTAGTTGAATGTGGTTAAGATGCTAAAAACACATTGGACGTTTGAAGCAGAGAACAGGATATTTGAAATACCATGATAGGAAGGCGAAGCCACTGCGGTGAGGAGAACTTTGATGACTTGGAGCACTACACTGCCAAGTCCGTATGAGAAAAGTATCAATCTGTGTACATATTTGAGACTTCTAATTTGCTGAATTATATGTGAAAAATTTATCTACATGAAAAGGTGCAGAGAAACTTTACACATCAACTCAAATTGATTAATCTCAAATTTGTGACTTACGCAGTTCTGTGGAATAAGACAGAAGGGATGTTTAATCAGAAAGAACTACACATGTGACTCATCTGAAATCGTTCCTGGAAGAGGTTTTTACTTTTGATTGGTACCAGTTGCGCCATCGTCGGACAATCTGCATACCATGTTAAATAGCTCCGTAAGCATGGCTTCGTTTTTGCCCCCAGTGAGACCGGCCTCTCCCTCTAGATGTCCATAAGAAATCAGCTTCTGCGAGTTATCATATAACACTCAATAAGCGCATCCAATTTTTTAGTACGAAGAAGAAGGCATTCTTTTTTTAAATTGAAATACCAAGCGAGAGCAGAGGAAACTCGGAAAAAATTATGATGAATTACAACCCGTCACGTGTTCCCACATGTAAGCAATCAAGAGCCGGCTCAATTATTTTCGATTGCTTCGTCTCAAATGCGAGACGCAATGGTAACAATACCACTTCAGCTTCTGACCCTTCAAGAGTTTTTCCAGCTTCGGTCATCGTGGCAGCAGCTGCCAGGCCTGTGTTTTGCCTTAGCGGCTCCTGAGTGTTGACAGTTTGGAAAGTTGCCCCTATCTCATTCAGTGACGATGTGTCTTCGTTATTTGTAAAGTCTTGGATACCCGAGCTATAGAGGACAACCAAAAGACCAAGGATTGAATTAATATTGTAAATACATCCATCAGACCTGATTGAATTCACGGCATTTGAAGGACAAGAAGCGAGTGAATGCACAAATCTTGTTCTCTACACAGATCTAATCCGCAGTTATAGCTTCATAACCCTAGAAACGATTCATGATCATAGCTTAGGGCTAAGGAGCATTTGGTCATACATGTTACGAGACAAATTAGGCTCCTCAAGCTGGCCTGGTGGTGGAACTGGAGAAGTAATATGCCGGCTGTCTGCAGTAGTCCATGCACAGGAGTCGTCAAATTCTGTTGCTAGAGTGCAACAGAAGGGACACACTAATAATTAATCAGCAGAGCTAGAATGTCTTAAAACACAAATATGAAGTGTATGTGACACAACGTACCAAGGTACGCTTTGAGAGCGTTCTGCAGATTGGCGTACTTCTTGCCAGATGATTCCTTCAGCATCCGTTCAAACGACCGCGTAACGAACGCTCCCCCAGCATCCGCCATGGTTCACACTCCTTCCTATTTCACCTTCTACCTGATTCACGCATGGTCAGCCATAATGCAAAACCTGAATGTTCATAATAAATAAGTTCAGCATTGAATTGTGAACGTCATGGAAATCTTGCAATTGGTGGAGACAGAAGAATTCAGCAGTTAGAAATTTGAGGTGCGGAACAGGAAAAAGCGTCATATTCAACGCGGATAAGGCTATTTTCATCGTTTCTTGTAAGCTTCTACAGAACCCCTCCCTATATATCGATAAGAAACTGCTTCACATATTAATTCACACGAAGCCTCCCTCAAGCTCTATACTCAATTAGGTGATTCAGCAAGAGCGGATCCCTTCCTGATCCTCACACAATTTATATTTGAAGCGTCTACCCTTGCACTATGTGATCCTGAAGTGGATGGCACTTCGGTGAACGAAAGAAAGGCGAATGCAAAAATTAGATCCACGACAAAAAAAGCAAAAAACTCAGGGAAATCTAGCGACAGAGGAAAATGCAATGCATTTGGCGAATTTTTCAGGTCAGTGGCCCTTCAAATTTGTTTCGCTCGTCAGAACATGAGAAACAAAAATACACATCTGGTTGCAACACCATCTGCAATCTCAAGGTAATTGATCCTCATCATCAACCAGGGGCGCAACAATATGTACACATTAATTCCCAAAAATTCGAACATGAATTGCAAGTGATTAGCAGGAGCCTCGTATATGTTCACACTCATACCACTAACAGAAACTCAATCAAACTAGTCGACGTTATCTGCTTTAGAAGACACCACAATTAATAAACGCATTCACAGATCAATGAAATCATTTAAGACACACCTCTCCTATTTACGTGGTATGCCCCGAATTCTCATGGAGGCAGAGATGCCTCGGAGTCTCCTTGGGAGTACAAAACAGTGCAATAACGTTCAAGTTCATCAGCAACAATGCGCCCAGAAATAGTTCTTGACCGCGTTGAGGGGGTAACTAATCAGTCAAGCAACGATATTCTATTGTAACTGAGTTATCACGGTCTTAGGATTGAATTCTGCGGCAGCTTCACAAACTGCTCACGCGGTGTCTTACTTGGAAAATTAGACCACTGACACCCACCACCACTATATGCGAGGAATGTGAGGTTGAACTGGGTCTATCGCATGCCAAGTGGAGTTTGCATGGATCCTTTTCGGGAAGCCAAGTGTCACCAGCTATTCCCCCCTACTACCCATTTCACCACCTGGTCACAATTTTGATTTCAGTCGACATAACCCTCCGATCTTCCGCAGAGCAATCGAGTTTGTACATTGATGTCCTGTGAGCCTTAGGTCTGAATTAGGGTGGCTTCCACGTTCGGAGTGAGTGATTCTTGCATTCAAGGAGTTGCTGAGGATTATTGGAGCTGCTTAGCGTGGCACTCCTGCAATTTTGATTTTCTTAGTAGAAGAGAGCTTGTGTTGCATTCAGACGCAGCGTCAGTTTTCGAAGGTGGGTTTACGCCAACTGTGTGCTTTTGTACTCGACGATCTGCTGTGAGTTTTGGCTGCTGATTTTGGTCACTGTCTGGTTTGCTGGGGATGTGAGCTCTTCTTCATGCTCCTCTCTGCTGCCTTGCAAAATATTAGAGTCAAACTTACTTATGTAGTACCCTAATGTGCTCCATATTTGCAAATTCTCAGTTCTTGAAGATACTAGAAACATGGAGCAGGATGGCCAAGCACATGAAGGTCAGCCTCAGCAAGCACAGCATGATCAGCAAGGAGGAGTGGGTTCAAATCCTCAGCAAAACCCGCAGGAACAGGTCTGCCTCATCTGAAACTCCACATTAGATTGTGCACGCAATATCGAAGTGACCACAAATGGACTATTCTATGTCTCAGGTTCTGTTTTCGTTCGATCTGATTTGCTACGCATAATTGGATGTACTTACTGAATCCATTGCTGAATTATCGAGTGTAGGCAAAGGTTGCTTCTCAAGAAGCAGTAGTAGCGCAACAAGAAGCCCAGGAGGCCATCAAACGGGCGTACGTCAAGCAGATGGCAGCGCAGGAGAAGGCAGAGCGCGCGTCTCAACAGGCGAGATCTTCAATCTATTGTGCAGCTCAGTTTCGATGGTCTTGAATGTTACTGCAAAACAAACCGACTGAGAAGTATTAACCAAAATACGTCGAATGGCTGGGTTTCAGGTTGTTACTGAACAGGAGACGGCTAAAAAAGTTGCAACTGAAGCAGCCTCTGAAGCAGCTGAGAAAGCTGCAAACGAACAGCGGGAAAGAGGGGCGAAAGAGGCGCATGATATGTCAATTGCAAATTTGGCTGCCCAGAGTGCGTTGGCATCTTTGTCTGCTAGTCAATCTGCTAACCAGCAAAGACCAGTCAATCCCGGGTATCAGTCGGGGTTCGTTGCATATTCTTCACGTGATCAGAATTCTGCCTCTGCAACTCAAGGCCAAGGAGGTAATCTAGGTATACCTGCTGTTTTTATTTTCCCATTAAATTCATTCTGCATCAGGGTTTCGTTTCATAAGCTAATCACTGAGGAACAAGCTATGAAATTAAGATCTGTAAGGTGTACTCTTTGGATTTTGGAGGCGTCCAGCAAGGGCAGTCGCCTCAACCAAGCTCAGACAGCGATTCCTTGCAATCGGCCCAGCGTTGTCAACAAATGTTACTGCAAGGTGCAAATCAGATGGCGCAACATGCAACCGCCCAAATGGCAGCTGCTCAGAACCTCGCTGCCGGTTCACCAGATCCTCAATACCAGCAGGTCAAGGATCTAACTACATGATTTCAGAATGTTGTAGGGTTCAATTTGCTAACTCTAGAACATCCTTGGTAGTCAAGATCTGTCGAACTTAAACAAATAAATAAACATGTGATCCAATGCTGAGAACTGCAGGTGGCAAGGCAGCAAGCAACGGCTGCTCAGGACGAAATGGAGTTTGCTTACAAGATTGCAGCTGCTGCTCAAGCTCCAGACACTGCGGTGCAAGCCGCTGCTGCCTTACCCAATCTCTTCAACGCAGCATAAACGAACTTTTCAAGGACATGTGTGCCGACAGGTGCAGATTGCTGGAGCATTTCCCCATTTTGTACAGTCCTTGACGTGAGCCTTGTGGTCCTCTCACAACTCTCTGCAGGTAGATTGCTCTATCTCTCATGTCACCTTATTAGCCTTTCGATGTGAAAAATGCATTGGAATTCCTGATTATCTGGTGTGACCCCATGTTAACACCATTGAATGGGATCTCTAATTGTTGACACAGCTATGGAATGAGAGTACTGTTGATCCTGTCAAATGCTGTATAAAATTCGTCAATGATCGTTGCATTCTCGAGACACATCTCATACAGTTTTGATGTTATCAGAACAGTTGATGCTCCGTAAAGACTCGCATCATTTCTTATGTTCTTCACTTAGATGTGTATTTTTATTTGACTGTGTTGTACAATATAAAATGTTATGTTGTAAAAGTATGGATTAACATCATTTTTTTGTAAATTATGAAATGCAGTATACTTCATCGTTAGTCAATTTTAGCTAAACAATTGAGGATTTTTTAACTTCTGATCAACTGTTTTGGGTATTTTGTCACAATTTTAAAAATGACTTGTAAGTAAGATATCACATGTCAATATTTTGAAAAATTGGTTGGAAAAGATTGCAACCTTGTAAATGGATTCTACTCACTGGAAAAACTAATCTTGTTTTGATATTTAAAATATAATTTGATAAGGACCAAAATGTCAATCAAATACTATCCTAAATATCCTCTCATTTTAGGATTTTCAATCAAAATATTCAAGTTGAATTCATAATATAACAAAATGCATGTAATAACGTAAGCATCCTCTTTTTTAAAAATCAATTGTAGATAAGTAAATATTCGATTTATACTGAAATATTTTGGTACTTACACATGAATCAAATAATTGAATCAATCTATTAACCAATTTTTAGATATCTATATATTCATATTAACTACATTGTATTGTTTTAAAATCAATAATAGTAATAATAAAATCAATAAAATCAAAAGTCATGTGTAAGAATTTTTTTGAGCTAAGCAAATTCCATAAGTGTGAATGTCTATCTTTAAAATTACCAAAAAGGCAATTTAAAGCCCAAAACCTACATTATCTCATATCATATTGTATTCTTTGTTCAACTATCGATAGCACTTTAGGTTACAAAATCTATAGCACAATTCATATCATTTTTAATACGTAAACTGTGGTTATTAATGATATCAATTGGTGTGTTTTTTAACCACAGTAATTTATGTAATTTTTTGTAGATATGTGTCAATTTGATATTTTTAACGCTTTGGTATTAGTTTGAAGTATGGTTTCAAGTGGTTGGGGTTTCCCTCGTTTTGTGAAATAAAAGTTTCTTAGCAAAACAGCAGTTTAAAGTTTCAGCATGGAACTCATTTGTTGTATGCAAAGACAAAAATAAATATAACATAAATACAAGAGAACATGAACTGAATACAGAGTAACAAGACCAGTTACTGAATGTCAGTATCAAGATACAACTAGATTCACAAACCACAAAATAAACAAAAATTGTTATTTATTGAATGCAATACTTATTACTCTCAACAAAGCATTCTTGCTGAAGGTCTCAAAAGATCCATTATCAATTCCACCCTCCGCAAATTCAAAGGTCATGGCTATGCAAAATAGCGGTATCACCCAGGAAAGAACATTCCAGGATAGCGTGACTTTTTCTGACGATTTAATCGATTTTTCCAGTCACCTTGACAGCACCAGAGAAAGCTAGGACAAGAGAAGTGTTGCATACATGCATTGAATCACTAACAAAAAAATGCAATTTAGTGTCAGAATCATCTGGTGTCCTTCAGGTTAGTTCCTCATTTTTTTTGAGGATCTTGGGTTGAATTGGACAGACCAAGGTACATAACGAATTGATACAAAGAAACTGCACAACGAACATCCATTAACAAGGCCATGACCAATGTAATAAAGACTGCCGTGGAGCAGGTCCTGGCTAAGAACTACTATAGCAGTCTGATTGAACTTGCATTGTAGGAATGCACCCAGCGTCTGGTGGACAATGACTCCCGCCCAGCTAATTCAACAATTCTCTGACCAGAAAAATCTGGAATGCCATATTGCCAAGTATCAACTGAACAACACATAAGGTTATAGCCACCCAAGTTACTCAAGAAACAAGTACACAAACTGAAATTACACAAGGCTGCACACAATATAAGTTACTTTGTCTGGAGTTAAAACACCGGGACATTTCATGGTGTAGCAGAAGTATTCGCTGAAGCTGAAACATAATCCTACAAAACCGCATTAATTTTTACCGTAATTCTTGGAGTTGAATTTGACACAGAGCAAGGCTACCATCTGTGTGTGAAGTGAGAATCCGGGTGGAGCCAACCCTGACGCACAAAATGGGCACCTGTTTAAGAGGCGACATGACACTCGAACTGTTGGAGATGCCCCCCTGCGGAACTGCCGTTTCACTCCATCTTGAGACAGAACCAGTGTCAGAATTATCACAGGGTCTAATAGAAACAAGACAATTTCCGGAAGAAGAATCCCATACTCGCACTATCCCATTCATACTCCCTGTAACCAGTGTCTCTAGACCATATTCTTGCAGGTGTAAACTTTTCATAACACTTCTGTCATGTTCTTTTTGCCATAGAATTGCTTGCTTTCTGCGAACGAAAGAAAAGATTTTCTTTAGAGCAGCCACACAAGTTAGAAACTGCAAGTATACGAGTTGCAAGTTCAGATATGCCCTGTATCAGCACAGAACAGATTCCAAACGGCAATATAGCCTGGTTGACTATCCTAATATAATGAACGACACAAATCAACTAACTTATTTCAGCAATTCTCTAGAAATGACGGAATTGTATAGAATTGGGCACTGATACTATGCATAGGAGGCAGCCAAGTATACCGTATATCCCAGCAACAAAGGCGACCCACTGATGTTCCTGCAAAAAGAAAGTGACCGTTTCTACCCCATTGCAAGCACTCCACTTCTGCAGATCACATTACACCTCAGAGAAAGAAATGCAAACAAACCGAGGACAAAATAAAGATAAAGTCTTAAAACATTTTTTTAAAAAGGAGACGCACTTCAAACTACGTAAGCCCAATTTTTCTATATTAAGTTTGACGTGAATCAAAAGGTGGACCTCTCATAGGACTCGGTCGCAACAGTCGAGCCACAATTTCACCAGTTGAGGTGTCACAGATTTGTACAGAGCCGTCCCTAGACCCCGTGGCAAGCACTGACATCTCTTCTTGAACACACAAACTCGACACAGCTGCAGAATGGCACCTACATTCCCAAAAAGATCAGTGGAATTGCATGTAGAAGTTCACATTGTAGGTGAAATAAAGTGATCTAAGGTGTGGAATGATGAGCAATCACTACAGCATGCTGATCTTGAGCTGTTATTATTATGTGCAACTTATGACTTAGCACTCCCTAACAGACTACACAGACAATTTAATTGGATAAATGCCGCCTTGAAATCAGATGCGGATCTCTCAACGTAAATTTTGGAAGACCTCTATTTCAAATTAATGATAAAGGCTCTGTCTTAACAAGAATTGATGGTAACCTCAGTATACGAGAGCAGCGGCCACTATAAAGATCGAAAATGCGAGCAGCTCCATCGGCGCAACCAACTGACACGTCCGATTCTGTGCAGCTGCATCCCAAAGTACAGACAACGCTGGCGCGTCAAAACTCCTCATTCCAAGTAGAACATATAATAAACTCTTTACTTAAGGTGTAGGCAGCTGCTACAGCTATCCATAGCCGCTATTTACCTTAAGCAATAGAGACGACATCCATGGCCACCCATTTGGTGAGTCACGCGTCCTCCTCTGTTTCGATTCCATACCCAAACCTCCGCACCTGCTGCTGCTATAATCTGTCCCCGTGTCTCCAGTTCCAAGTTTTAAGTTGACTTAATTATTGATAACTCATTTCGAGCGCTCTAAAATCACCACAAATGACTATCACAGGTTGAAAACAGCTATTTCACCACCACATGTCAAACACGTACAATCACTAACGAAGAGCCTCCATTTACATATCGTCTTGAGCTGTTCTCCAAAAAAATATCGACTATCATTTGTTCTGCTTGACAATACAGAATACTCCTCTTAACTTGATACAGCATGGAAATTTTACACTTCGATATTTCAAGCAGAGAAAACAAAACGTTCTTGCACTGAAAATGAAGTATATAGTTAAGCCGGTAAATGTTGGGGTTTATTTTACCTTGTTAGCATCAAACTCAAGATCAACTACAGGTGACTTTGGCTTGGAAACTTTGTACTCTTCCAAACAATGCAGAGATGATGCACACCACACTCGTACAGTCTAAGTTCAGGAAGGCAACTGGTAAGAGGAGAGATCCGCTAAAGGTACTCATAAAGGGTGCCATTTGAACCATCGGATTCCTTCCCGCAGGATTACTAAAGTATAATCGTTCTACATGAAAACACAGTACTGCTGGAACAGTAAGTAGACCAATTGCTATTCTTTGAAGCAGCCGTTGAAATACCTAGCATGAGCTAAAACTTAAAAGTTGCCCCTATCTCTGTCACCTCAAAATTCAAGAGCATCACAGAAGAACCAGTACTAAAAACATCTGGAACCAATTACCTGATCGGTAGAGCCACTAACAATTGTGTTCATACTCATGTGGCAGCAATCTGCCCTGTATTTTCCGCGTTCATCCCCACCTGATCCATGCAGATCAGTATTCGTAACAAAGTTTCAATTTCATGCACAAGGACGTCGATTGGAGGTTCTTGAATGAGTCACACCTACTCACATCCTGATGCTGAGAGAGTGAAACCTCACATTATTGAATGTCGCAGTAAAATCCCAGGAACGATAAATCGCGTACATCAAAAGTGTCCAGAAAACACCTATATTCTTACACGTAAATTATTCTATGTAGCATTTGTTTAGAATAAAATTAGGGCACTTGCCTTGAAGGGTGGGCCTTCCACCAACGACAATACATTTTGCCATGGACGAGGTGTGCCCGCTGGTACATGGTCGCGGCTCTTGTTCTAAAATCCAATTCACTGACTAATTTCACATCCGACTGAGATAACTTAAGTTTCAGCTCCTTCCTCTGCTCTTCGAGAGCTTTCTCCCACACGAATGGGCAATTCGTGACTACATTATGCCTGCAGTACATTGTAAAATCAGTTTTCAAAAGCAAACCCAGGTCAAGGTCAATCCAACACATCTTCTGAAAGTCTTGCAATACAGAAACTTAATCAGCGCCTCAAAACACGCATCCCCTGGTTATCTCAACAAGCTAAGAATTCACGATACCTTCTTGCACCATTACGAAAAACCCCTCAATCCCAGAGACCGACCAAAACCTGAAGATGAACAGACGGAAACTCACCACGCAGTGCAGACAGCAGAAGCACGAGCGAGCGAGGCTGCGGGCAAACGCACAAAGACGAGCAGCAGAACATCAGCAGCACCACTGCCCCAAGGCGACTGCTCGGCCTTCCTCGTCTTCGTTTCCGCCTTCATTTTCACCTTCCCTCTCGCAAAATGTTCCATGACGTGGAAGAAATCACGACCCAATTGACCCAAATGACCATAGATTAGAACCCACAAATCAAACGCCGCACTTGAGCAATTGCTCCGATTTGGTGCAACAATTCCTCTGCGCTCCTTTGTCCCGTTCTCGCACCGTCTCTCATTCCCCTGTGATGATTTTCATCTACGATGAACGACTTCGTGGACACATAGCCCCATTTTTGGATGATATAAGATGTGCTCGAACAGCCGACGAATGAAATATTCTTTTCTCGTTCATTTGTTGGAATCTGCAACGAGAAGTGCAGGGATTCATTCATCTGCTCATAGTCATCCATGGAGCTAGAGGTTTTTAAATTCCTCGTTAATTTAGAGCTCGGAATATTATCAGGCACCCAATTTATTTATTTACTTTTTTTTTCATGTAAGAAAGACTAGATGAAGGTATTTGAAAGGGTGAATAGGTGATGCAATGTTGAACTAATGACAAGGTGTGGCAAATGAAAGTTCCTTGAGAATTAATTCAATTAAATTTATTTCTAATTGAATTGTCTTATTAATTTATTTTTTTATACACGTACGCATCAAAAATTAACATACATATTATTTTTTATAAGATGTAAACACTAATACAGTAATAGTATAAAAATGAAATAAAGAAGAACAAAAAATAAATAAATAAATATAATAACATAAGATATTTTTAGTGTGGAAGTGAATCACTCATATAACTTACTTATTTGAATGTGTTCAAAGTAAGGGGGGGAGGAAGGGAAAAAAGGGAAAAAAATAAATAAAACTTTGCAGAAATTGAAATCAATATAAAAACGATTAAAACGAGGAATAATTAAATAAAAGCAAGTAAAATTAACAGTTAAATAAATAAAACACATTTGTATGTGCACACCTTTTATACTTCATAATGTCATGATGATACAATGTGATGTTGAACTTTTTCATGTTGGAATATTAGATCAAAACAAAGGAATAATTGGCTTCTATCACTAATAATCCAAATGGGCCATGATATGGTTTACAGACATGATATTCATTATACAAATTTATTTGGTTAATATATGATAAATAAAATTAACATGTGATTTGAATGTTCCTGAATAATTAGAATGATATTATTTTGAAAAATCATAAAATTTCCATGTATTTAAAACACAAAATATGTTCAAATATTTATAAGAATAGAATTATATATATATATATATATATATATATATCGTAATAACACATGATAAAACTGGGTATGTGTATGTACATAATTTGAACGCACTTAATCCACAAAAGACTTCTTATCTCAGAGAAAATAAGAAATTACATCAGCATATTGTAAACCTTAATGCAATCCAATATTGGAAGCTATATTTCTTGTTCTAACATTGTATATTGTATATATGTAATTTAGAATTTTTGATGTAAATTTAGAATTTCAAAATCATTTTCGGAAATTCCATACTAGAAGAAAAATTTCATGTATGATTTTTGCTACTATACACTAGTTTTATAAAAAAAAAATATGAATATACATATATATATATATATATATATATAAGAAAGAGAAATTAGTGAAATGCAAGAAAAATATACCATATTAATTATTGATTGGTTGATGAATGGTTGCTGTTTGTACAACTAATTGGTTATGATTAATGAAATTTTACATTTGAATCTTAATTGAGTCACTTTCAAATGTCCCTAACGAAGTTCAACTACAAAATTTATTGTTATTTTTTGAAATCCACTTTAACACAACTCTTATGGCAATTTGGATCCAATGAACAATGTTCCAGCATAACATATCCAAAATGGAGACAAATATATATATATATATATATATATATGTTGTAGTGTATCTTTTGAAAAAAACAGAATTTTATGTGAAGGAATCCTCTGTAAGAATCAAAATTAACAATGGTACTTCAAGATTCACCACCCAAATTAAACAGTAGGAGTGGAGGCTCTAGATTGATTATAAAATACACTGTCAACTTAGAAGTGGATGTAGATATGGAACTGGAGCTGAAACATTGACTTCATGACTTGCATTGAAGGCAAGAGGTTGCAGTGAAAGTGGAACATGGAGTTTGAGACTATTTGAAGACTCTAATCAAATTTAAACCATGTTTCTAACATTTACAACACACTCACATACACACACACACACACACACACACATATATATATATATATATATTTATTAAAAAATGTTAAAGCAACCAATTTTTTTTAAAAAAATTGACCCACCTTGGATGAAGAATCATTGCACTCTCATCCCCCTTCTCCTCCTCGTTTCTATGTTCCCTATCTCCGTCCACATTTATAATCCATCCTCTTCTTGCTATGATTCAATATTCTTGCAAGATCCTCAACCTGCAATGCTCACCAGCATTGCTAAAGAAAAAATCTTGCAACAATATTTATTTTACTTTCCTCATTCCAAAACCATAATACAATGTCCATTCCAATGTTTTTAGCTTTTGCACATACTATGACACCTTCTCCATTGCCAATCCTTCTTCATCATCTTCTCCATCATTTCCTTCACACCTCTCTCCCACATCTCTCGTCTTTGGCTTTGCTTTATTTCACTACCTCTCCACACATTGTGCATCTTCTTTGTCGTCAACTTGGTTATTGAATATGGTTGATCTAGATCACTCAAGATGCTTATAAAACATGGAGCAACAAAAGCTCAATATTTGTTACTACAGAGGTTGAATTGAATCACTTTTTAAAAGATGTCACACGAATTATATATAATTTCAATGAGCAAAATTACATCGACATTAATAGCATGAATATAGTGTACAAAGGACAATTTTTGGATGACATTATAGTGGTTGTGAAAATATTTACAATTTGATAGGGTGAAATGACTGAGAGTGCAGAAATAGTCTTAGCAGACAAATTCAAAATTCTAAGCCATATTCACCATTGGACTCTCTTCAAAATGATGGATTACTCATGCAATGTCATGGACATACGCATGTAAGCCAGTAATTACATGTATAAATGTCAAGGACAAGAACTCGATGAAAAAATAGTTCAGACAAGTAAGCCTTCACTCTAAGAAAAGTAACAAAATATGAATAATAAGTATGTATATTGAAAAGAAAAACTAAAATGGCTATTGCCAAAAGACAAGAAAACTAGAGACCCTTGAAACTAGACTAGAAGCAAGAAAGGAGTTGACAAGAGTGAAGAGAGCTTCACTCTTGCCTCTATATATACTATCTAATTAGAAGCCACGTGGCGATATTCTATAAGACTTCGAATATGTGTTGACTTTCTAGGCCACATGTCTTTGCTTGCAAGGCAAGTTTTCTATGAGTAGACTACGTAGTTAGCTTATCCTTCAAGCTACCAACATGTGTGGCACATGGCTAACTTGTTGACCAAGTTTCTAACCTAAAAGTCAACTATGGACTCCTTTAAGGTCAAAGCAGCGTCTATGAAGCTTCTAAGAAGCTTTTCTAGAAGATATTGCACGATTAACCTACTTTTATCTACTTTTACATACTTTTATCGACTCTTGTAGGTAATTATATGTATACCCGTGACATTACCCCCCTTCTAGAGACGAGTTCCACGAGGAGCGGTGATTATATGTTGAGAAAGTCTAATATGCGGCAAATAGTATTTGCTACATACTCTGATCTCTGTTCTCTTCGAAGGTAGTTGATGGGTCCTCTTAGCCATCGATAGTGTCCCATTCCAGGGCGAGAAGACCACCCTATTATTTGATCATTATTGAGGCCGTCATAACTTCCTTCAAATAATACATTTGAAACACCATCAGCAGTCGTTCCTATCTCCAGTAATATCACCAAACATCGAGAATCTCTTCCAAGGTCGTGATACCAAACGCGTTGTATCTTACCATCTATTCAAGGAAGAACATGTCGTTCTTGAGGGTCTTCATCTCGGTTGCGTCGTCTTGAAGGTTGTGACAATCGCAACGTCTCATCCAGTAAGTCAGCAAACGAAGGTTCTTGAGTTGAATCCACTGGTTGTTGGCTCTCCATCTAATTAGCGTCACAAATGCAAAGAAGTTACAAACAAGGCTAGGAAATTGAATGTTATCTTGCCTCAATCTTGTCTCTTTTATAAGAGAGATTTTCATCTTGGTTTTGATGGATGTCGTTGATGAAAAACTTTGACTTTAGCTGATGCATTTGCTAGATTCCTGGATGGCTCCCATGTGCGTTCACTAATATCATATCCGCGCCAATGAACAAGATATTCCAGCTTATTTCGGCGCCGCCTTGAGTCTAATATCTCTTCCACCTCAAATTCTTCATTATTATCTACTTCTATAGGAGGCGGTGGCATTTGTCTTCTTCCTTGTATATCCACTATCTTATATGGTTCAAGAAGAGACACGTGGAATACAGGATGGATCTTCATTGACTCCGGTAGATATAACCGATATGCAACTGGGTTGATCTGTTCAGAAACAGAAAAGGGGCCAAGCCTACGATAGTCCAACTTGTCACAAGGTCGAGTAGTCTTCATATTGCGACGAAGTAGCCATACCTTATCACCCACGTTGAGTTGTGGTTGCTCCTTACGATATAGATCTACGTTTATCTTTTATCGTTCTTGAGCTTCCTTCAATTGCGTCTTCATTATTGCATGTAACTCTGACAACCGATTTGCCATATCTTCTGCTACAGGATTATCAACTTTTGAAAAATCAAAAGTATCAAGTCGTGGATGATAGCCATAATTGGCAAAGAAAGGTGTTTGTTGCGTGGAAGAATGTACCGTATTATTATAAGCAAACTCTGCCAATGGCAGAAGGGTTGTCCAATCATCTTGTTGGTAGTTGATAGTACACCTTAAATATTGCTCCAAGACTTGGTTTACGTGCTCTGTTTTTCCATCAGTTTGAGGATGGAAAGCCGAAGATAGCTTTATGTCCACTTTTAAAATCTTGAAAAGAGTCCTCCAGAATCTTGACACAAATTGAATTTCCCTATCTGATATGATATCTTTAAGTAATCCATGATAGCGATAGATATTATCAATGAAAAGCTTAGCTGTTTCTTCACCTGTGATAGATTTTGTACATGGCACAAAATGTGCCATCTTGGTGAAACGATCTACTATCACAAATATAGAATCATAAGATCTTGAGCTTGGAAGATCTGTGATGAAATCCATAGAAACAGAAGACCATGGTTGTTCTGGTATAGGTAATGGCTGAAAAAGTCCGTAAGGTCGATGACGAGGAATTTTTGATCTTGAACAAATATCACATGATTGTACAAAGTCTTTGACTGACTTCCACATTTGTGGCCACCAAAAATCTCTTGATATGAGT